AAGCCTCAATTAGTGCCATTGGGTGCAGTCACACCAAGACTCTGCAGCATGACTCACTCTGCCAGCTCATAGCAGGGCTCTGCAACAAACACACATAAACGCAGTCCAATGAAATGAGTTTTAATGTCACCCTAAGAAAAGGCCATAAACAAAAGGATGATCAGAGTTAACAGGGAAAAATCAAATAGACTACAAAGACATGAAGTAAATACAGGTGAAGAAAAAGGGAATAACGCAGCTCCATTGCAGATATGTAGAGCTGGTTGTAAGGTGAGGGAAGGAGCTGTCCCAGGTTTCCACGTCAAATGACTGATTGGACGTCTTGACCCATAATCTGCTTTTAACGACAGGTAGCATTCTGACATGTTCATTTCCCTGTCTGTGTGTGAGTAATGGCAGGTAAGGGTGCATGCTCTGCCTGCTTGTGCGCGTCCTCTCGTTTTCTCATTTTTAACCTTCCCTCCCAGCTCTTTGAGATACATTACCTTCGGCAGCTTTGATCTACGAGTTTGTTTGATCTCAGAAGTTTAGAAATTTCATAATTTATTAGTAAGTAAATCAGCAGAATTCAAAGAGAGAAGGCAGGAGACAGACAGCAGATGCTTTCTGATTCATACATTAGCAAAATGATCTGATAAGAGGACCAAAACCTATGAGTGAGTATATTAGTGGTGCGCCAATGCCTTTTTTTGGCTCTTGAGTTGGTGGCTTTCTACCCGCCACCCTTTCCCTCTCAGGAGCATGAGCGACTCCGCTCGCTCTGCCCAGTACGAGCTCTGAGGATGTACGTGGAGAAAACAGCTGGTTTCCGCAAATCGGATCAGCTGTTTGTATCATGGTCCCCGCCACATAAAGGGAAGCCCCTCACTAAACAACGTCTCTCACATTGGAGCTATTATCATGGCTTATGAAGTTAAGGGCCTCCCACCCCCTGCAGGCCTGCTAGCTCCTTCCATTCATGGGATGGCATCATCCTGGGCAATGTTTCAGGGTATACCTTTGGAGGACATCTGTAGGGCTGCCAGCTGGGCAACTCCTCACACCTTCCCTAGGTTTTATAGGTTGGATGTTACCACACCCTCACGGTTCTGGGTGTAGTATATTAACCTTTATAAGTTAGGTCCTGAGTAAGCTTATCTGGCAATACGGGAGTTGCAACATCCCATAGTGAGATACTGAAACTAATGTTGAAAGAGATCTTTAGGTTAAGGAATTAACCCTGGTTCTCTGAAACATCAGTGAGGTATCTCACCAGATCACCCTCCTTACCTGGAGCGAGGAAGAAGTGTGCTTACGAGACTGAGGATCACCAGCGTGATGTCAGGTTCTTATACTGGGGATAAGTCCCTCCCCCATTAGCAGACGTCACCTCTGTGAGCCAGTCATGACTGGCGTAATGTTATAGTGCTTCTGGAGACAGCGCTGGGGGCGTGTCCCATAGTGAGATACCTCACTCACGCTTCAGAGAACCTGGGTTAAAACCTTAACCTAAAGTTCTCTGTGTACATGCGTGGGTTCTCTCCGGGTCCTCCTTCTTCCTCCCACAGTCCAAAAAGCACTTATTGGAGTATTTTTTATTCTCTACTCCAAATATTTTAACCTATCCATTTTATTTTCCCATCACATTTTACCCCAGCTGGGGTCGCGAGGGGTGCTGGTGCCCATCTACAGTAGTCTACGGGCAAGACAGGTTGCCAGTCTATCGCAGGGCAACAAACAGGACAAACAACCATTCACACACACTCACACCTAATGAGAATTTAGAGAAACCAATGAACTGTCAACAGTCAAGGCAGTGAAGGCAGACTAACAGGTCTTTAAGGGTCAGAAGCTATTAGAATCTGATAGACAGGTGTTCAAATAGTTATTTGCAGCTGTATCATAACCAATAAATAGTTTAAAAAGTCATATATTGTGATTATACAACGCAAGTGTCCCTCATAAGAAGTAGAGGATGCAATGACGTCACAGGCCAGTGTGCTCTTTTTTTTCTGGAAGTAAACATGGATGGTAGTGCCGGCGCATCTAGTGGTCTTTTCCAACCATAAAAACACAATCTTTTCATTATGGTTAAACATAAATACTGCTCTCCGCATAATCATCCGCCATGGTTGTTGTTTTTCTTGCCGCTTCTGTGTAGCAAGACACATAATAGTGACCTATGTCGGGTATTAATGATGTTCAGGTCGGATGAATCCGACCTGGCTATTCACACACAGGTCGCATTTGAAAAGATCAGATTCGTATCGGATTCAGGACCACAAAGCCAAGTGGCCGGGGTCGGATTGGAAAAAACTCGGATCTGTGTTGTTCAGACTGCCATGAAAAGATCAGATCCAGGTCGCATAAGGGCAAAAAAAATCGGATTTGGGTCACTTCAGGCTGCAGTGTGAACCTTATACCCAACTGGTTTACTACTTTTTTTTTTTTTTTAAACTTAAACAGTATTGTTTGGGATAAATTTGTATAAAATTGTCGAATAAAGGCTGATTTATACTCAGAAACAAGCTTGTCTGCATGTGTGTACCTTACCAGCTTGTTTTGTATGTATGACCGCCATTGTGGAAAACAAATCGTGAAGATCAACCAGCTAGAAGAGCGAGGTGCGAGACAACGCTGGGACCCTTTTTCCACCTGGATTCCCGCTCTTTTTTCCATTATGTCCCACCGTTTTCAGACAAACCCACCCGCACTTCCTCACCGCCTTGGCCGCATCTAGACCCACAGCTATTCGTAATTGTCCCTCTTGCGTTGTGGCGTGGAATAACACAGTGCAGACCAAGCTTCAATACTGGGCAAAAATCAAAAATATCTCCGACAAGCTCACTGCGACACATGGGACACTGCTGCGGGAGTATAACCAGCCCTAAAGTGCAGATTATACTTCTGCAACCGCACACGTCAAATGTCACTTGGGTCTGGTTACAAACCGGTTTTGCTGGTATGCTTCTGCACCGTTGGTCTGGAATTTCTAGGGACGCACAGCAGTTTCCCGCCAGTGCGCAAGGGGGAGCCTATTTGAGAACTTGCGAGAACTTTGGCGGCACCAAGGGAGTGTTTGTCTTCCAAACCAACAATGGCGCATCTGCAAGATATTACGGTCACGGAGATGGATCTAGAGTTGCTAGACATCGAAAATGAAATATCTATCTATATAATTTGTCTGGGGCATCGTACAAGTGGTTGTACTTCTGAATCTCCTTGATTAACCTTTCATCGTAGTTATCCATTGTAGTTGTTCCTCGGTTTTTAAAAAGTGGTGCGCCCCAGCACCGAATCGAGAAGGACGACCACAAAGACAGCCGGAAAGGCATACCAAGGACCAATCACAGCTGCATTTTGTCTGCACACTTCAGCTTGAGGTCTGCGCAGGTTTTCGACCGTCCGACGCATAGTCAGAATTTTTTTCAGGTGCAAGACGACAGATGCAGAACCTCTGCACGGGGGGCGTGGTCACGCACAGAGACAGATTTGACGGTTGCAGAGGCTATGCGTCAGAAACATAAATTGGCCTTTAAGCTCCACATCATCTACCTTGTTGGTAGAAAACCTCTATTTATGCTTAAGGCCAGGTGAGGCCCTCCTCTGTCTCTATACAGTATATCTCACTCACACACTACTTTGTTTCTCTTTGTTTGCCATCTCTGCTGTAAGACTGCATTAGCTTACCATTTCCCCTTACGCTAAGCCGCTGCTCCAGGGAACCACCCACACCAATCAGCAGACAGCATATGATCCTTTCACACATACAAACACATGCACTCACCTACACCATGTGGAACAGTGGAAGGAAAGCTGAAAGTACCAGCATGTGCGTGTGTATATTTATTTATATATATATATATACAGCAAGTCCAGAAGGCCCTTGAAATATGCACAGCAGTCCCATGCATAATACATGGGCACAGCAGGAGAAAAGAACTTGTGAGCCGAGTGGATCTCTGCCTCTCCATCTCCTCACTTCACCCCCCACCCCACCCCACAACTCCAACTCCATAACACTGTCTGCTGAAGCTGTCGTGCATATGTCTTAAATAACAACTGCTTCTTGAGGTCATGTTTGGGTCTTGAATTGTGATGGAGGGAACGCATCAAGGCTGGGGGGTCAGGGCGGGAAAATGGATCGACAGCAGCAGGAAAAAGGGAATGAGGTGAGACTGCACGGTCACAGAGAACGTCACACATTTTTATGCTTAGCAGATGAAGAACTATAATCTGAAGTGAAAGGAGGTGAATGATTCACTGTTTTCAGTCAGCTGAGACCAAACCCGATGGCAGTTTCAGTTGGATCACTGACGTTTACAGGCTGAATGTCTAAAGGTCAGACAGTCTGTAGATGCCAGAGAATGCCAAGTTGTGGTAACTTACTGCAGCTTTGTCATTTACCTCCAGAAAGAGCGGTGCAGCTCGTTGACAGCGCCTCTGCTTGAGCAATGATGTTTAGCACTGAGACGTGTTGAGGAGCCTTACACAAGACTTGCATATATATCTATATGTCTAAAGTTTACCGCCCGCAAAAACGAGCCAAACTTTTCAAAGTTCACTATGGGTTTGTGTTTTGGGCTAACATTTTAAATGATAGATGAACTAGGCAGGTCATTACATCATTAAAATTTAAGATGTTCTTCAAATAAAAGTAAAATTTAATATGCTATTCTGGTTTCTGAAACCCAAATGTTTTCTAAAAAACAAAGTCTTCACTTACCATTTAAAATTATTACAGTTCAACAAAAAAAATTAAAACAAACTTTTAAAATCTAAATTAAACATTAACACAGCTTTCATTTGTCTACCATCTGGCGCACCTATAGAAGAGAGGCTTGAAAGGTATTCCACAGAATATGGACAACAAAAAACAAATCATTGCATCATATTCAAGTGTGTAGAACAATTCAAATGTTTAACTACTAACTATACCTTGACTTTACACCTATTTTTTTAAACGTCAAGAACTGAACTTCCCAAATGATCCATAAACAAAAAGAGTATAAACCACTTACAATCAGCTGTTTGAGGCCGATGAAGGACTGCTCCACAGAGTTGGCTGTGAGGACCTGACGCCTCATGGCTGCCTGCTCTCCCAAGAAACTAAGCATTAGGTCTTTTACAGCATCTCCCTGCATCAAAACACAAAGCCAATAACATTAACAAAAAAGACGCAAGGCCAGACAAACAACAGAGATGAGACTTCATACTTATATGAGACCTTATATGAGGTACATATTCCTCCGTATTCTAGACAAGATAAGGAAACGGGGCGGCGTCATTTAATGTGTCTCCACAGTATAAAAGAAAATGGATGTCATTGCTTAAATTGCGTTGACGACATTACTATAACATGTTGAGCAGTAATATCTCAGCCACTATAAAGATTAAGTAAACCTGACCAAATGCATTATTGCAAAGAAGGAAGGCATTGTCACTACCTGATCCGTCCCAGAAGCACGATCTATTCTGAGCATGCGCGAATAGTTACACATCCTGGTTTCCATAAATAATGTAATGCTTATTTCTACCCTTAATTCACTAAAGAATACTAGTACACATCTGTAAAAAATGTTTTATGATTTTTCTGAGACAATTTTTATGCTTTTTACATTTTCTTTGTTAAACTGCTTCTCTGACGTCATCATCAGACATGCTTAGAGCAGTCCAGCAAAATATGATTAAATCATGTTTATCTGCATTTTAGTTGTTTCTTTCTTTAGATTATGCACTATATACCATAAGGTTAAAATGAAAGGAAAACATCAAACTCAAAAAGACTAGATTTATGTTTAAATCCATAGCCGAAAAAGTTAGCCACTGGAAGTAGCATAGGACCCCATATCCGGTGCAGATCGGACAGCGGAAACATGCAAGAGGAGGAGGGTTTTGTGTCAGAGGTCGTGGATGTGTCTCCTCCGTCATAGATTTTTTCATTTAGAGGAGGAAAGTGGGTAGGAAGTTGTTGTGGAAGAGGACGCCAGGGTGGCAGAAGCTTCGTTTGGTGTAGAAGGCTTACAGCTCTACGCCTGCTGAAGACACAGACATCCATCCCCGTGAACACTGGGACGGAACTCAATGGGAAAGACAATGATTCTTATTCCTTATTTTAACTATTGCGTATATTAGCTATGTATCAAGATATTATTACCCGAAAAAATTTGATTGACAGGTGAGCGTTGATATATGATTGGCCAAATTTATGTGTACAGGCTGACGTATAACTAATTGGTCTGCATAAGATAAGGAAAAATACCCCACAGATTTTAAGAAATTTTGGGGACAATATCGTCTGATCAAGATTACATTTATATACATGTTTAAGCCAGAATGATTTCACATTTAAATATGACTTCCCTACGACTTAGAATATGTATGACATATTCTAAACTAATTTCTATCAGTGATCAATGTGAAAACTTTTGCAGTACCTATAGATAAATATTCATGCTAATAAAATGTCCTACCTGTAGGTTGTCAAATTTCAGTCCAGGCATTGTGAGTTTGTTGCTCTCTACATATGCTGGACTGTACTGCTGGGTGGCAACGGATATCAAAACCTTTCTCGTCTCTTCACACGGCAGCCAGGCATCGTGTCGCCTGTCCACCTCACTCAAACTCAATGCAGTTGCAAATGGGTCGTCGCTGCCTGAGAACACAGCTTGGAGCTGGTTGAAGGGCTGTGGCTGTGTGGCTGAAACTGGGACTGGGGCCGGAACTGGAGCCGAGGCAGTCTGGGGTGGAAGTGGTTGAGAGTTGGTGTTTGGTTCGGCGGAAGTAAGAAAAAATACTGGGCTAGTACTGGGAGCAGCTGAGTCTAAGAGTGCTCCTGGGGTGGAGATAGAAGAGGAGGTTGAAGAGAGGTGGCGCTCATTTGTGAGAGGTATGGGTGGGGGTCCACCTCCTGGAGAAAGATCGGCGTTGGGGTTGGAAACGGAAATAAAAGATGATTGAAGAGTAAAAGAATCGAAGAAGTCAGAGGCTGGATTGCCTTGTCCATTGTCAGCAAAGAACTTACTGAGGCTTGGGCTGGGCTGACATACTAGGGGCCTGTTTAGCTTATTAGGAGTCACAGCCTCATCACTTCCGCCTGCACTTCCCATTGTAAAGCTGGGGGACTTGATTAAGGTTGGCTGGAAACCATCAGGAGCCAATGACTTGGGCAGGGTACTCTGGCTGAATATGGTGCACACTGGCACAGGCTCATCTTTTGGACCAGTTCCTGTGCCTGACAACGGCTCTGGATCCTCACTCGTATTAGGAGATGGACCTGGAGTATCAACCTGAGGTGAAACAGGAGCTGTGACCTGCTGTACTGCACCTTGTTCCTCTTTTGTTTCCTGTTCAGAACACTCTTCTTCCAGTTGGTCCACTGAAACCTTAATCTCAGTTGAATTCTGTCCAATTTCACTGTCCTCTTCCTTGTTTTCTGGAGTTGCATTCTCCTGCTCACCGCCATCCAAATAGGAGTCGATAGGAGCCACATCATCTTCCTCGCTGTTATTAGGTGAGTCAGAAATCATGACACTCTCCATCATTTGATCATTCAGTCTGTCCAGCAGGCTTTCAGTGGGTGTGGCACTGCTGTCTTCCTGGGGTGTGACAAAGTCTGTACCTCCCAGATCAATGCTGTCTTCTTGGGCCAGGAGGCCATCATTGGTCAGGATCTGATTAGCAGCTTCAAATTGACTAGAAGCTTCTTCAGTAGGCCCTGAAACTCCAGCTTCATCTTCCACTGTGATCTCCAGAGACACAGGCCGCTGGGAATGAGCTTCCCCTTTGTCCATCTTACTACTGCTGAAAAAACAGAAATAATTTTAAAGTTAGTTTTCCCATGTATTACAAAATGTGTACAAATATAATGTTAAAATAACATTATTTATCAATTATTAAAGAATTAAAAATCAATCAAGTTTAAAACACATATTTAAAGTTATTGTGGAGGATTTTCGCAAATTTTTGAAAAGACCTGCTCCCGAGAGGGAACGCATATTAAATGCATGCGAGAGCATGCACGAGCCCATTTCTCCTCGTGCACGCTCTGTTTAAAAGTTTGCCGTTTGCATCGCTTATACAAGCTTACTTTCCAAAAAAAAGATTGCAATTTTTCCACTATGTCAGACTCACCACCGGTAAGTGAAAATTGGGACGAGCACGTAGGACGGTCTTAGGTAAACATATCACCAGAATGACTGACAGTTAGGGAGGACAACTTATTTTGATGATCCACCCCGAAAAACAACATCCTCCACTATACCTTTAAGTCATTCTAATCAATATTTTTTTTTAAACAAATAAAAAAAATAAAAAAACCTTGGCAGAAGACCTTTTCAAATTCTGAAACTGTCTGCATTCATTTGTGGGTTATTGATCAGAAAATTGGAAAAAAAAAAAAAAAAGAAACAAGCAATCAAGGAGTCAGAAACGAAAAACCAGAATTTCCCTATTGTGGGACAATAAAGGTAATTTCTATTCTATTCTAAACTCATCTTAGTTCTTTATTTAGGTAAGATGCTTCTGTAATATCCTTAAAACTTCCAGCCATATAACAAGTCTTGAATATTGCCTCTGATTGCAGTCCATTTAAAGTCTTTAAATGTGCTTTGCTTTACAATCTTTTCACTGGTGGTATAATAATATGCATTGATGACACTTTTCATGACTTAATTGTTCCCCTCAGAAGTGTGTGTATGCTTACATATTAACGTTTGTGTGTTTTAGCTCCTCAAAGCTCTTTTATGCTCTATTAATTTACTAAGATGTACCTCAGCATGGAAGCATATGTCCAAACTCTAGATTAGCATAAGCCTTATATAGGCACTTATAGGAATTTTTTTCAACTACTTTAAGTGTTAAATCTTTTTGGTTTTAGAAAAACAGAGCTCTTTAAATGGTA